TCTACTACATAAGGTAACATTCACAGGTTCCAGGGAGTAGGGCTGGATATCGTCCAGAGCCAACCACAAGGTATAAAAGTAAAGTCACCATCTAGGTTAAAAAATAAACTGTTTCAAAAAAAAAAAACTGTTTCAAGTTCAGAGTAGGGAAGAACCCTAGATAAACAGCAGATTATTTAAAAACAAGATTAGTAGACGCAATCAATGTGATCATCAGTGTGACTTGATTACAAAAAAAAAAAATACTACATGTATTTATCAAAAGAAGTAGAGGGTGCAGAGACAAGAGGCCTAGCTATATCACACTTAGAATATTATACAAGAGGCCTAGCTATATCACACTTAGAATATTATACAGCTATGTACCACACAACAATGTTTCAGTCAATGATGGACCCCATACACAAAGGTGGTCCCATAAAATTATAAGGGAGCTTAAAAATTCCTATCCCCTGGTGCCATCATAGCCACTGCAACATTGTAGCACAAGGCATTACTCACATGTTTCTGCTGATGCTGGTGTAAACAAACCTACTGTACTGCCATGCATATAAAAGTATATAGCACATACAATTACATATAGTACATACTTGATAATGATAATAAATGACTGTTACTAGTTTATGTATTTATTATATTATACTTTTTGTCACTGATACCCCATCTACTTATTTTTAAAAGTTAACTGTAAAACAGCCTTAGGGAGGTCTTTCAGAAGGCATTCCAGAAGAAGGCATTGTTATCATAGGAGACGACAGCTCCATGTGTATTGTTGTCCCTGAAAACCTTCCAGTGGGAAAAGATGTAGAGGGTGAAGACAGTGAAACTGATTATCTTGACCTTGAATAGGCCTAGGCTAATGTACGTGTTTGTGTCTTAGCTTTTACAAAAAAAGTTTAAAAGTAAAATATAAATAATTTTTAAAAGCTTATATAATAAGAACATAAAAAGGAAATATTTTGTACAGCTGTATATGTGTTTTTATTTCAAGTTAAGTGTTATTACAAAACAGTCAAAAAGGTTAAGAAAATTAAAAGTTTATGAAGTAAAAATGTTATACTAAGCTAAAATTAATTCTTATTGAGGAAAAATATTTTTAATACATTTAGTATAGCTTACGCGTACAGTGTTTTATAAAACTTACAGTAGTGTACAGTAATGTTTCAGACCTTCACATTCATTCACCACTAACTCATTGACTCACCTAGAGTCACTTCTAGTTCTGCAAGCTCCATTCATGGTAGGTATCCTATAGAGAAGTACCATTTTAAATGTTTTATACTATACTTTTATTGTCTCTTTTCTATGTTTAGATACACAAATACCATTGTATTACAATTGCCTATAGTATTCAGAACAGTAACATGCTGTACAGGTTTGTAGCCTAGGAGCAATAGGCTATACCATATAGCCTAGGTGTGTAGTAGGCTATACCATCTAGGTTTGTGTAAGTACGTTCTATGATGCTCACACAATGACAAAATTGCCTAATCATGCGTTTCTTAGAATATATTTCCAACATTAAGTAACACAAGACAGAAGTTTGTTACCACAATTTAAAAAGAAACAATGAAGCAATTGTGAATGGAAGTTCATTCCTGATTTGGCTCTCTGTTTGTCTGTTACTGGTGTATAAGAATGCTTGTGATTTTTGCACATTAATTTTGTATCCTGAGACTTGGTGAAGTTGCTTATCAGCTTAAGGAGATTTTGGGCTGAGACAATGGGTTTTCTAAATATAACAATCATGTCATCTGCAAAACAGGGACAATTTGACTTCTTCTTTTCCTAACTGAATACCCTTGATTTCTTTCTCTGCCTAATTGCCCTAGCCAGAACTTCCAACACTATGTTGAATAGGAATGGTGAGAGAGGCATCCCTGTTCTTGTGGCCAGTTTTCAAAGGAATTTTCCAGTTTTGCCCAATTCAGTAATGATATTGGCTGTGGGTTTCTCATAAATAGCCTTATTTATTTTGAGGTACATTCCATCAATACCGAATTTATTGACGCGTTTTTAGCATGAAGGCTGGTTGAATTTTCGTCAAAAGCCTTTTCTGCATCTATTGAGATAATCATGTGGTTCTTGTCTTTGGTTCTGTCTATATGCTGGATTATGTTTATTGATTTGCGAATGTTGAACCCAGCCTGCATCCCAGGGATGAAGCCCACTTGATCATGGTGGATAAGTTTTTGAGTGTTGCTGAACCGGTTTTGCCAGTATTTTAGTTGAGGATTTTGTGAGATCGCATGTTCATCGGGTATTGTCGTAAAATTCGCTCTTTTTATTGTTGTGTCTCTGCCAGGCTTTGGATCAGGATGATGTTGGCTCAGTAAAATGAGTTTAGGAGATTCCTTCTTTTATCTAATTCATATGGAATAGTTTCAGAACCAATGCGTACACTCCTCCCTTGTACTCTGGTAGATTAGGCTGTGAATCCATCTGGTCGGCCTGGAGCCTTTTTTTGGTGGTAAGGCTATTAATTGTTGCCTCAATTTCAGAGCCTTACTATTGGTCTAATATTCAGGGATTCAAAGTTTCTTCTGGTTTAGTCTTGGAAGCAGTGTAAAGTGTTACAGGAAATGTATCGCAATTTCTTCTAGATTTTCACAGTTTATTTTGCGTAGAGTGATGTTTATAGTAATTCTTCTGATGGTATGTTTGATATTTCTGTTGCGGTTCCGGTGGTGATATCCCTTTTAATCATTTTTAATTGGTCGATTGTGATTCTTTCTCTCTTTTTTCTTTATTAGTTCGGCTAGTGGTCATGTCAATTTTGTTGATCTTTTTCAAAAAACCACTCCTGGATTCCATGATCAGCTCCAAATGAGTTTCTTTCAGCAGAATTGGAAAAAACCTGCTTAAACGTTCATATGGAAACCAAAAAAAGAGCCCCGCATACATGCCAAGATACATCCTAAGGTCAAAAGACAACAGCTGGACGGCACACGCTACCTTGACTTCAAACTAATACTACAATGGCTACAGTAACGCAAACAGCATGGTACTGGTACCAAAAACAGAGATATACCAATGGAACAGAACAGCAGGGTCCTCAGAAATAGATTACGCAACACATCTTCAGGCCCATTTGATCTTTGACCAAACCTGAGAGAAAACAAGAAAATGGGGAAGGATTCCCTATTTAAATAAATGGTGCTGGGAAAATTGACTAAGCCATAAGTGAAATGCTGAAACTGATCCTTTCCTTACTCCGCTTATACAGAAATTTAATTGCAAGATGGGATTAGAGACTTAAAATGTTAGACTAATACCATAAAAATCCTAGAAGGAAAACCCTAGTGTATACCGATCTCAACACCAGGCATGGGCAAAGACTTCATGTCTAAAACACAAAAGCAACGCAGCAAAAGCCAAATTGACCAAAGGATCCAGTAAATCTAAAACTGACTCCAAAAGAAACAACATCAGCAGGAACCCCAGGCAACCTACAGAATGGGAAGAAAATTTTTTGGCAAGTCTACATCATCTGACAAGGCGGGTGAGGGCTAATATCCACGAAACCGTACAAAAAGAACTCAAACAAATTTTACACAAAAAGAAACAAACAACCCCATCAAAAAGTGGGGCAAAGAGGATATGAAACAGACATTTCTCAAAAGAAGATATTCTACAGCAACAGACCAGGGGGGTGAAAAGAATGTTCTCATCACTGGCCATCCAGAGAAATGCAAATCAACAACCACAATGAGATACCCATCTCCACCAGTTTAGAATGGCCGATCGATCTAAAAAGTCCAGGAAACAATCGAGGTGCTGGAGAGGATGTGGAGTAAATAGGAACCACTTTTACACTGTGTGGTGGGGATTGTAAACTAATTCAACCAATTATGGAAAACGAGTATGGCGTTCCTCAATGGATCTAGAAAAGAATGTACCATATGCACCCAGCCATCCCATTACTGGGTATCAATAATCCCAAAAGGATTATAAATTATATTGGCTATAAAGACAGCTGCACACCGTATGTTGTACTTGGCAGCACTATTCCAAAGTAGGCAAAGACGTTGGAATCAACCCAAATGTCCATCAAGTGAGCAGATTGGTTTGATTAAGAAATGTGGCAGCACTGATACACCATGGGAATACTATGCAGCCATAAAAAAAGGGATGAGTTTGTGTCGCCTTGCCTGTAGGCGAACATGGGGATGCAGCTGGAAAGCCAATGCTTTGTAGGCAAACGTATCACAGAAAGCAGAAACCAAAACACCACCAGTGTTCTCACTCATAAGGTGGAACTGAACCACCTGAGATCAACACTTGGAGCTCAGGAAAGGGGAACATCACCAGCACGGGCCTACTCATGGGGAAAGGGGGGAAGCGGGGGGGAAGGGACTGCATTGGGCGAGTTATAACCTGATGTAAATGCGAGTTGATGGTGCAGCAGCAGGCAAATGGCACCAAGTATAGCATACTGTAACAAACCCCCTGCACGTTATGCACATGTACCCTAGCAAACTTAAAGTATAATAATAATAAATAAATTTAAAAAAAAAAAAAAAGAAAGAAAGAAAGAAACAATGAAAAACTGATGCATTTCTAGGGGGAAATAACTATGATCATGAAAGAACTAAAAAGTTAGATCCATAAAAATAACTAATATTTATGGTAAATATGCCAGGCACTGTTCTAAATATATTACTTATATTAGCTAATTTAATTATTTCAATAACTCTATGATGTAGATACTATGTGTTAATTGTCCCTATTTTCCAGAAGAACCAAGGCACAAATTAAGTAACTTGCCCCGAATCACATACAATAGTAAACTTCAAGGCCAGGTTCAAACCCAGATAATCCAGCTCTAGAGCCCACAACTTAGCTATATTGCTTTATTAACATAGCAGGAAATGGAAGAGCAATTTCAGAAGGTGAAAAAAAAATCCTTAAATAACTGAAGAATTATCAGGTAGAAGAGGAATTAGAATTAGTCTGTGTCATTATAGAAAGCAAGACCAAGACTAAGGGCTGAAAATTACCAATTTGAAGGAGTTCAATAGGTCATTCTGAATCTGCTTTGTCAGGTTATGTGTCTCCCATTAATAGAAATGATTAAGCAGAAGCTGAAAAAGAACACATGGTAAGTATCCTATAGAGAAGTACCATTTTTAACCTTTTATGCAGTATTTTTACCATCCATGGAGCTTGCAGAACTAGAAGTTGCTCTGGGTGACTCAATGAGTGAGTGGCGAGTGAATTTAAGGGCATCCATCCACTGCTGAAAATGTTCTAGTATCTAGATAGAGTTGAGTACAAATCACTGCTGGCACTAAAGAAAACCCCACTATTGCAACCACGGTGGAAAGTAGGTCTGGGTAGTTTGCAGAAGTCCCCCCAGAGGAACTCTTACTACCACCCAAAAAGGCAGTCTTATCACCCTTTTGAGAGTCACTATCATAGATGATTTTTAAAGAGAGATTACAAGATTCAGCGGTAACTTGAAAGATTTTATGAACGTTAATTTTATCCAGCAGGCTGGGAATCTTACACAGGCTAATGTAAACATTATCACCGTCACCATCTCAATGATATATCTGGAGGCCACAGATTACATTAAGGCAATAGTCTCCAAATAGTTTTAAACATGACCCATAATAGCCAATACATTTTACATCATTACTAAGTGCAAAATTACTAAATAGTACTTCTCCTTACTATGTACCAATGCACTCTGATATTTTCTATTCCTATTTCAACTTTTAAAAATTACTGACCATAACACATGAAATTGATTTCATGACTCCAACCAATGGGTTTCAACTCACGGTATGAAATATTTTGAGCTAAGAGTAGTATTTACCTGTTGCCCCAGGTATTTCTGAAGTTTTCTACTGACACAAACAATAGTTTTCTGTACTCTCAGTTCCTTTATTGACCTTCAACTAATCTTCCTCCACCTTAGCTTAGCTACCCTGTCCTAGGTCAGATCCTAGACCTTTATCTGTAATGATATCACTGCCAAAGTCTCATTTTCATGCATACTACTTTCTATCACCCTTTTCTTTACTGGCTTTCCAGAATAGGAGCACTCCTAAAATTCTTTGATTGCACATCTATTCTGTTCATCTTGTCACCTTTGACTCTCGATCGCCCCTATGTCCTCTCATGTCTTTATTCAGTTTAGATTCTAAAATCCATCACCTTAATTATCCCTTGTACATATCTTCAACTCCCTTGCCAGTCTCTGGCTTTGTCATACTGCCTTGGCAAACTGCCAACTTTAGTTAAATTCAATTAATCCTTCTTGTTTTTCAAACAATTCCGTACTAAAGCCATTAGGTAGAATAAAGCAAAAGCAAGAAAGATGTCCACAGTAGGGGGTGTGCCTGTGTTAGCTTAGCATAGGGTGTCAGTGCCCTAACAGGATGAGGAGGGCATTCACCTAGAGGGCATCCTGGTATGCCAGAGCCCAAGGGAGGTGAGAAGGGCATTGATGATGAGGGGAACGCACCTATTGTGGATGTCGGAGCTAAATGTAATGATGAAGGCATCCATTAGATTCAGAGAGCAGACCTAAAAAGAAGACTCAGAGACTGGGTGTGTTAGAGAGGGTGCCCACTTACAGGGACAGCCAGTGCATCAGAACCCCAGCAGGATAAGGGAGGTATCCATGCTCAGGGTGCTCTAGCTTGGGATATTAGAGCCCAAGCAGAGTAAGGTATATCCCAAGCAGAGTAAGGTGGGTATCCATGTTGGAGGCCAGCCCAGCATTGGGTATCAGAGCTGAAACAAGCTTAGGACCCTATCCTTGTGGAGGCGAAGCCTGGCATGAGTTATCAGAGTCAAAGAATGAAGAATGTCTTAGTCTGTTTGGGCTGCTATAACAAAATACCATAAATTGGGTAGCTTATAAACAACATAAATTTATTTCTCACAGTTCTGGAGACAGGAAAGTTCAAGATCGAGGCACCCACAAATTCAGTGCCTGATGATGGCCACTTCCTGGCTCACAGACAACCTTCTTTTCTTGGTAACCTCATATAGCTGAAGGAGCAAAGAAGTTATCTTGGATCTTTTATAATGGCAATAACTAACAACATTCGTGAAAACTCTGTGCTTATAACCTAATAACCTCCTAAAGGCCCCAACTCCTAACAGCCTCACACCAGTAATTAGGTTTCAACATATGGATTTCAGTGGGGGGCACAAACATTCAGACCACAGCAGTGAAAATGGTAACTGTGTGGAAAGGGTGTGCTGGAATGAGAGGTCAATTCCTGAACAAGATAAGGAGATTATCTGCATCCTGGTGGAAATGAAAGATTGGTTACAAGGAAATTTCTCAAACAAGTAAATATATTAAGGAAAATAGAAGTCAGGTTTCTTATTGTTACAAAGAAAAAGAGAAAACAAGAACAAACCCTGTGATATAGGACTGGCTTTAGAATTCATGGTTTTTAATATTTATAGATAAAAATAAATACAGATGTAAATACAGTGTGTGTAATCTTCAAAAGAGCCAAGGTCATAGAAGGCAAAGAAAGAGTAGGAAACTGTCCCAACTGAAGGATACTAAAAAGACATGACAGATAAATGTAACACATGATTTTGAAGTGATCTATGTTCCAAAAAAAAAAAAAATTATTAACACAATTGGTAGAATGTGAATTAAATCTGAGGATTAGAATGTTATCTAATATCTGATATCATTGTTACTTTGCTGCATGCTCTGTGATCATGTTGGAGAATGCCCTTGTTTGTGGGAAATATGTATTAAAATATTCAAGGGTGATAATGAATCAGGTCAGCAACTGACTCTCAAATGGTAGTTTTAAAAAGTTCTTTGTACTAGATGTCCAACGTTTCCCTAAATATGTGATTCTTTCAAAATCTTTTTTTTTTTTCTATTTTTGAGACAGGGTATAGCCCATACTGAAGTGCAATGGCACAATCATAGCTCACTATAACCTCGAACACCTGTGCTCAAGCGATCCTCCCATCTTATACTTCCGAGTAGCTGGGACTACAAGTGCTTCAAACCAGGCCTGGCTAATTTTTTATTTTTTGTATAGATGGGGTCTCACCATGTTGCCCAGGCTGGTCTTCAACCCCTGGCCTCAAGTAATCCTTCAATCTCAGCCACACAAACTGGGGTGTGAGCCACTACACTCAGCCTCTGAATCTTAAGAATAAAAACAAAATACCACAAAACCATGTTGATTTGGTTTCACATTTTTGATTTTTTTTATTTTTAATTTTTGTGAGTACATAGTAGGTGTATATGTTTATGGGGTAAATGAGATGTTTTGAAACAGGCATGCAATGTCAAGTAATTACATCAAAGAGAATAGGGCATCCATCTCCTCAAGTATTTATTCTTTGTGTTACAAACAGTACAATTATACTCTTTTAGTTATTTTTAAATTTACACTTAAGTTATTATTCACTACAATCACCCTGTTGTGCTAATAAATAGTAGGTCTTATTCATTCTTTCTAACTATTTTTTTGTATCCATCACTTATCTCTACCTTCCCACTCCCATCCTCTCACTACCTCTGTCAGCCTCTGGTAACCATCCTTCAACTATGTCCATGAGTTCAATTGTTTTAATTTTTAGATTCCACAAACAAGTGAGAACATGTGATGTTTGTCATTCTGTGATTGGCTTATTTCATGTAACATAATGATCTCTAGTTCCATCTACTTTGTTGCAAATAAGAGGATATCATTCTTTTTATGGCTGAATAATACTCTGTTGTGTATAAGTACCAGTTTTCTTTATCCCTTCATCTGTTGATGGACACTTAGGTTGCTTCTAACTCTTAGTTATTGTGAAAAGTGCTGCAAGAAACATGAGAGTGCAACTATCACTTAAATATACAGACTTCTATTCTTTGGGTACATACCCAGCAATGGGGCTGCTGGATCATATGGTAGCTCAATTTTCAGTTTTGTGAGGAACATCCAAACTATTCTGCATAGTGGTTGTAATAAGTTACGTTGCCACCAACAGTGTACAAGGGTTCCCTTTTCTTCACATCCTCACGACCATTAGTTATTCTCTGTCATTTAAATATAAGCCATCTTAACTGGGGTGAGATGGCATCTCATTGCAGTTTTTATTTGTATTTCTCTGATGACCAATGATGTTGAGCACCTTCTCATATGCCTGTTTGCCATTTGTATGTCTTTTTTTAAGAAATGCCTATTAAAATATTTTGCCCATTTTTGATCAGATTATTTTTCCTATAGAGTTGTTTGAGCTCCTTATATATTCTGCTTATTAATCCCTTGTCAGATTCATAATTTGCAAATATTTTCTCTCATTCTGTGGATTGTCTCTTCACTTTATTGGTTGTACCCTTTGCAGTGCAGAAGCTTTTTAACTTGATGTGATCCCATATGTTCATTTTCGCTTTGGCTACCTGTGCTTGTGGGGTACTGCTCAAAAAATCTTTGCCCAGATCATTTTCCTGCAGATTTTCTCCAATGTTTTCTTGTAATAATTTCATATTTTGAGGTCTTAGATTTAAGTCTTTCATCCATTTCAATTTGATTTTTGTATACGGCAAGAGTAGGGGTCTAGTTTCATTCTTCTGCATATGGATATCCAGTTTTTCCAGCACCATTAATGGAAGAGACTGGCTTTTCCCCAGTGTATGTTCTTAGCATCTTTGTTGAAAATGAGTTCAGTGTAAGACTGTGGAATTAATTCTGGGTTCTCTATTCTGTTCCATTGGTCTGTGTATCTGTTTTTATTCCAGTACCACAGTGTTTTGGTTACTATGGTTCTGTAGTATAATATAATTTGAAGTCAGGTAATGTGATTCCTCTAGTTTTCTGCTTTTTGCTTAGAATAGCTTTGCATATTCTGGGTCTTTTTTCATGCCACATAAAGTTTAGGATTTTTTTTTTTCTATTTATGTGAAGAATGTCGTTGGTATTTTGATAGGGATTGCATTGAATCTGTAGAGTACTGGGAGTGGTGTAGACATTTTAACAATATTGATTCTTCCAATCTATGAGCATGGAATATTTTTTCCATATTTTGGTGTCCTCTTCAATTTCTTTCATCAGCGTTTTATAGTTTTCATTATAGCAATCTTTCACTTCTTTGGTTA